TTTTTTTTTTTTCTCTACGTTTAAACTACCATTTAAGAAGATCCTTTTTTTGTACCCCACTCTTTGTAACGGTCAAACAAAAGTTAAATTTCAACCTCTTTTATACAGCTCTTTTACCGATTCTCTTATCCGTGTGAACTTGACAATTGGTGATGCAAAAAATTTATCACGTGACCAAGCCTTTACAATTTCAATGGTATGATTGGAATGTAAACAAAAATAACCACGTCAAATCCACTGACTTCGTGAGTGTTTGTTTTTGTAATGAAATGAGATGTTTAATTTTTGGCAAAATAAGAAAATTCTTAAAAAATTATTGAGTTTTGAAACTAAAGTACCTTTACACATATCTTCATCTGTGATTTTACACCTTGTCGACGCTCGACTTATACGAAAAAAGATTGATTTTCTTTCCGTTATTTGTTTTCAACGTATTTACTCTCACTTGCAAAAATTTCGTAATCGACTAACTTTTTCAAAGCTTTTTTTTAGAAATGAGTGTTGGTCTCGATGATGCTAACAATAAAGTATAATTAACTTTTATGAAGTTTTCAAATTTTCAAAGCCAAGGGGAATAAGTGATCTTGACTTGATTCGAGCTGAGTTTACGCTCATAAACCTGCGGTTTATATCTGACTTACTGGTTCTGTAGATGTTTTGAACTTTATTTGGCTCATTATTTGTCATTAACCATCCAGTAAATCATATGTATTTTTTCTATTTTGGATCATGTGATGTTCTCTTGAGAATTGCTCCCTTGTTTCTCTAAAAATTATACATTCAAATACACGTGTTGAAATGTGAAAATCAAACGATCACATTATATTGTTCCCGTCAAGTGCTCGCTGAAATCGCAAAAAAAGTGTTTCTCGTATTACTTGGCTTTTACGAAAATCATAACGAAAATGATTTTCATTTGTCTAGACAAACTGTATCTTTTGACAGGGCAGGTTAGTATTATTAGGCATCAAAAAAATAATCCAGGCTAATTTACCTCGTAATTTATGTGCGCTAATTTGATGAACGTTTGAATTGATCAACATCTATTTTCTCCTTGCATTAGCAACATATTTACAAGGACAAAAGTTGAGAGAAGAAGGAAATTCACTGTCATACATGAAAGATTGTCTTGATGTACCAAATCAATTTCATGGGCGAGCATTGAACTAAAACCACATGCCGTACTGAACATAGACTTGGAAAATTCTTTGAAGGTTTCCATATTTAACCCGTACATTTTCTTTCTCTCTTAGTGTCTTCAACAAAGCTTACTGAATGCGGTGGATCGAAATCCAGAACACAGACTCCGCAGAGGAAAAGAGTTCATAAAGAAGTCAGGAATATAAGACGAGATAGTTACAGGTTAACATAACTTAAGATAATGTTTTCCAGTCATCAGAAAGAATCTACCAAACTTTAGTCAAGGAATAACTGTTCTCACAAAACCTGAGAGAATCAAGTCGTAAAACTTAAACTTAAGATCTTTAAATACTCAGGTGCAACTAGAAAGTATCTATCAATGCAAAATCGTTTTCAAACTTTATTAACGAGATTTTTAGTAGTGTTTGTTTATATTTACAAGCGCTCTTTAGATTTAACAATTTAGCTTGAGAAGGAGCAGTATTCGTTTCCAGTTTTTTTTTTTTTTTCATTTTCCTCTCAGTTATTTTTCTATGAATACTGGAATAAGGTATTTATAATATCCAGATTTCGCAACAGTATTGTATAATCGTTACTTATATTCAAGCTTTGTAATCAAGCGTAATGAAAGCTTAATAAAATGAAAGCAATCAATGAAATGTTTCATAACTTTAATTGTGTCTCTCATCGATTGTCTTATTTACTTATTCAATAAACAAATAATTTTAAAAAAATTCGCGCTTTTAAAAGAGGCCTGGAAACTAGTCGGAATGTAGGCTATCTCTTTTACTATTTTTTGACTATGTAGGGTTGCCACGAAGAAAAAATTCTGCGCTTTTGAACAGGGTCTAGTCAGAAATCAAACATATATTTGGACTTTTGATGGGAAAAACCATTTGCACAGCGCAAGATTTTTCCCGCCAAAAGACTTAGTATATTTTTGACTCGAAACCAGACACCATTCAAAAACTCAGACTTTTTTTCTAAGGACATTTTTCCCGCCAAAAGGCTTAGTATTTTTTTCGACTTGTTTTTACTTGCTTTTAAAAGTGGAAAATTTTCTCACCAAGACTCAGTTTTTATTTCAACTCTTTTCTTGCCCTCTTTTAAAAGCGCAAAATTTCCTGCCAAAAGAGTTAGGTTTTGTTCGACGTTTTTTGCCACGAGCTGACGAGTTAAAGAAGATCTCCTCTAAACTAGATCCGATTTCTGTTGTCAAGTCAACACGAGCTATGACGATTCAAAACATTTTATTTCAACATTTCTTCGCTTTGCTCGTAACGTGTACTCTTTTGGCTTTTATCAACGGCTTTGAACCTGAAAGAAAAGTAAATAAAAACATTATTCAAAACATCAAAAACATTTAGAACAGTGCGCTCACTTTTATATAAGAACCCACTAACTAGGAACGTCTGGGCTAAGCTTGGCAAAATTTTTAATACATGTCAAGATCACTTTGATTTCATTTTCTTTTCTCGTTTTTGCATTTTGCAGAAGATATAAAACAACTAAAATATCCTAAAACATCCTAGTAAAGCAACTCAGCTGAGTCGAAAACTCTAAGTTACTATGGGCTAATAACATGAGTAGAATCTTACACTCCGCACTACGAATCCCAAGTTCAGAATATAAGTTCTCGTTACTTTTTTCTATACAACATTCAATGGAGGGTTCTGAGAATTTGTTTTAAATCAAGACAATATCTTCCCAACTGTTTGCTTGGCAACTAATGTGTGATTTGCTATCAGAACCCATATTGGTTCCTCAAACAGGCTTAGCACGATAGTCGCTGCACACGAATAAATTGCAATGGCCCTTTGCAGCTAAGCCATCACGTGACCTATTTTTCATAACGAATGCCGGAAATGGAAAAAGAATGTCGAAAATATCAAAATGGCCAAGTTTTAGGCCCCCATCATTAAAGAACGAGATTTTATGACGGTCCAAATCTTTAAAAGAATAAGAAGATTTGTACGGAAAAAGTTGCTGGAGAGCAACATCTTGCTCTCCAGCAACATATTACATACAAATCTTCTAAATATTCCGAAAATTCAAACTGTCGTATAAACCTACTCTTTAATTCCAGGGGCCTCAAACTTGGCCATTTTGGTATTTTCGATGCGCTCTTTCCATTTCTGGCATTCTTTAAGTTATAGCCCATAATATAAAAATTTTCTAAGAAAAATTTGGTCACGTGACCCCAGCTGCAAAGGGCCTATTCTCTCAAAATTATATTCGAAGTAACTCGGTTATGAAAATTGAACCAAGTGGTTATTTTATCTGTCTGCTATATAACCTGTAACATTTCTGAAGCGATTCACAAAACCAAACAGTTTTTGTAACACTGGGAAAAACCACCAATAGTGCACTGTACACCCCTGAGCAATCCTACGAGTATTGTTTAAACTTTTTGTAAAACAAAAAAAAAAATATTCATGGCAAATTTCCAACTTAAACTAAACTGAAGTTAAATGTGTATTGAGCTTTGATGTAGCATGTAAGTTAAGGCTCCCGAGCTCAAGCATGATCCAGAATCAAAATTCTCATTTAGTTAATTTTCCTTCGATTTGTCTCTAAATATTCAAACGAGCATGGCGCAATAGCTTGTCCCAAGAAATTTGAGATCAACTTATTGTGTAAAAAAAAAATGTATATACGCACTCTTTAGCACTTATGTCACTTGTAATTTGTGAGAGGATCGAAAACATGTCAGACAAAAAACATACTTGTGTTTTGTTCTCGCAGTGTTTTATTTGATCTATATTTGAAAAACCCCATCGAGTAATAATCTGATATATATGCACACAGTATACTTATTAATCATATTCTTAGATTTAAGTAACACTCCGAGATTGTACTCACCACGGTTGACAGTTGTTCTTCGGGCCAGTTAAATGGTCCAGAGGCTGTCGAGAAAAGTAAAAATTAATAGGGGAAATAGTAGGAAATCAAGTAAATCACGGCATTCCTGACTGAAATGAGGTGAGATAAGCGTAGATGATTCATTCTACCAAGAAGTCATAAAGTATTTCTGCTGACTCAACGAGAGATGGAAAACGCAGCATGTTAGAGAAAGGAGTCGGACATAATAATGAATAACAATTAACTTTCAATATTAAACGTTCTTTCATGCTTTCAGGCTCCGTCTAAACGACATCAAACAAATTGCTAGACTCACAAGGAACTAAATATAACCACTAAATGAGATATCAAATATTTCAGGTCATTTACCTTGCAAAGACGAGTCCTACTGCGTTTCTCACTTAACAAACTTTAGGAATTTCTTCTTTCCCCGAAGCTTGGGAATTTATCGAACTCTCAAACTCAGTGTTCAACAGAGACTCCATTAAAACGTGGACTATCGAAGGAACCGTTTCACACGTGTAGCAAATCTTGAATACATTAATTTTCGAAAATGGTTACGATCTCTGCCATTGGCCAAACAGAAACAATAATGAAAACACTCAAACTTTTTATTCATTTTTAACTTCTCCAAAAACAAGCAAAAACATATACCAAAAATAAAAGGATACAAACAAAAACAAAAAACGCAAAAAAAAAAAAAAACCATAGGCCTGTTTCAAACTTTAGTTGCGTTTATTCATCTCAAAATTCCGGAAACTCAGAGAATTATTAAAATTACGAATATTGTACCTCGCGAGGTTCTTTTCGATTCATTTTTCATTCGTCACTGGAAATAGCCAGAAATTCAAGCAGGAGTTTTTGGTCGAAAGGAAAGCGCCATTCACTTAGGGGTTTTTTTTTTTTTTTCGCAATCTTGAAATTTTTAACTTTTAGTAACGGTTTACTCGTCCCAAGCAGAACATTTGATATGTCAACTATTTGTTACTTCGTGTGATCTTGCCATAGCAACCGCATTTTGACATGCTGGTCGAGCCAAGTTTCGTCTTTTTCACGGAATTTTACGAGAAACATTTAAGAAGGTAAGCGAATAGTTCAGAAATTTCCTGGGAAATATTACAAAAACAAAATTCGAGACTTCCGCTCCTTTTTTTTTTTTCGCATTTGGAATTCGCATTTCCGGAATTTCCGGAAACTTTCCCAAGCTATTTCCGTGCTATTTGCTCCCTTTTCGGAGTTACGGAATGTTTTGGCCGAATGGAAAGCGTCCGCCAGAAACTCCAATCGAAAATTTCACGAGCGGACTCGAAGGGAACGGAAATGTTGAAGAAAGAAAAGTTAACAGAAAGCAAAACTAAGAAGAAGTGAAATTCAATGTCCTACCTACACTCTGAAAGTGACGTCTTTTTCTGCGTTAAACGGGGTCCCAGCTTTTTGCTACAGCTAAGCCTTAATTAAAACTAAAATTAAGGGTGTTTTCATCAACTTGTACCGTTGCTATGGTAACTTGTAATGCTAAGAAAATGTGTATAACTTTTTCGCCAATAATTGGGTGACGTAGCAGCTCTCGTTTGGTCTCACATGAATGGCTTGCTACCCTTTGAGAGGACAATAGAACAAACAACAGAAACAATGCCTCTAGCCCTAAAACAATAACAGCTGCTAACAATGAAGAGAATTACAAGCTTACGAGAGATGCTACACTTCTGCAATAATTGAGCATTAGTTTGATGCCCTTACAGTTGTGTCAACTGAAAATGAAGAGTTGCATTATTTACCTATCAAAGTAGAAATGTTGTAACATTGTGGAAACCACGTCAACCTTTCCCAACATGATTTCACAAACTGCGACAGTAACCCCTTAAGGCTTGTACAATCCATCAAACAGAATGCTTCTCGCCGTAAAAGGTAATAAACGCAGTAGGTAGGTAGGTAGGTAGAGCATATCCAGGTTTCTATAGCATGAAGCACTTAAAGTATTTTACTCCCCCTCTGGTTAGGATGGTAGTTCATTGCAGGGTGGGTTACCCCCAGCTTTAAGATCGCCAGTACCCATTTATACATCTGGGGGGAGGGAGGCACTGTGAGTGAAGTGCCTTGCCCAAGAACACCACACAATGTCCCCGGCCTGGGCTCGAACCCAGACCGCCTGAGAAAGTACAAGGAGAAAGGCACACAGGGATTCAAGAACTCATGTTTACTTCTGTCACGAGATAAATTATTACACACGTCAGAAGTTAGATCAGTAAGAAGACGGAGATTGATAAAACGGCAATCCTTAACTTGGTATGAGACTATGTTCAAGGATACTGGAAGCTAAAAAAAACTTCTACTGTAGGTCTTTTCCTTCTTTGCGTGGTTAAAACAAAAAACAAAAACGAAATATATTTACATCGAGCTACATGTACATAAAAGGGACGAACAAACGGCTATCACTGGGTGTAATTTCCGACATGGAAAGCTGGTAGCTTTTGTTTTCCAATGGTACGCGTTCCAATTCCGCCGTTCGTAGATACAGCATTCTTCTCGTTTCAAGTTGCCAAGCAACAGACATGTTCGAGGATTCCTTTAGCGAAGATGTTTCCACGTCAGCGAGGAGGTGGAGGCCCAAACCTCTGCGGCCCGCCCGGTGGAAAAGGACCTGGAAACAAAGCAATCAAAACAGTGCTTTTCAGTTTATTTGATTATTTAACCCTTAAGCAATACTAGCGGCGATAACTTGTTTCGCCGCTGTAACAAATCAAAGAGGGCAGCCCGTCAGAGTGACGGGCTGCATACCTTAGAGAGGAAAAGCTTGACTTTATACGCTACGCTAGAAGAAAAACTCAAAACAATGGTTGAATAATGTAGAAAATCCTACTGGTAATAATAGCCAAAAGGCACAAGTATAGTTGTAACACTAGGCAGTATAGATGGAAACTGAATTTGCAAGTTTCTCGAGAAAATTACCAATCAATCAATATTGGAGCCAGTTCGACTGTTGAGAGAAGAAAAGAGACGACAAAGCAATCTTTGCAGCTGTACAACTTTTAGGCTTAGGCACTACATGTATATATAATAACTGCTATTGTTGTTGTCACTGTTGTAGTTGTTTGGGGGAAGATCGTATGGAACGTACGCTCAAAACAAATTCTCTGAAAGATTGTCAAAAACAAATACCGAGGCTAAAAAGTCTTCAGAAATTATTGGCGCGAAAGTCCATAAGTTTCAGCGTTCCGGTTTCCCCCCGCGGTGATACCCTCGGCCCAGGCTATCACTCTTTTTTTCGAAGTAAGCTATAATATACACCGACTTTCTCTTCACGTTATTGTACATAATGAACACAACACTCCACAGCGGAGCTTTAACTAAGTGTAACAGCAAATACAAATGAATTCATAACAATTGCCTTTTTGCACAGGGATACTGTTAGTTGACTAACGTCACGATATGCAATATCAAACAGGGCACTTTGCAGTCACTCACCTCCAGGCGGCATCATCCTAAATGGCATTGGGGGCGGAGGACCCAACAGACTCGGTATTCCACCGGGTGGTCCCATGTCATTCTGCATGGGCGGTCTACCACCAAACTGCATGGGAGGTGGTCTGGGTAGGAGACCGCCACCTGGGTGATCTGGACGACCAAGCAGAGGCTGTTGAACCAAGTTGATGCTTCATTAGAGTGGTTTTCAGTCAAGCATGTTGTAGAACCAAACCAAAACCAATTGCTTGCCTATGAAACTACTCGGCCAGTCAGCAAAAACCAAAACCAAAGTAACTGCCTGATTACTTTCGACACTCGCTAGTAAACTGCTCTACATGTATATCTAAGTATTGATTGTACGCCTCCAAAAAGTCACAATAAACTACATAAGGACATTTCATATTTAGTCAAAAAGTAAGGAAATATTGGTTTGGAGGTAAATGGCAAGTGAATACGTCTTACAGTTTACCTTCTTGAAAAGTTGTTTTTTGAGGGGAAAGAAAGGAAGGCAAAGTGAAAAAACGATTGCCATTTACCCCCAAAATGAAATTTTTGAACTTTTGACTAAGTGGAAAGTGTCCTAAGTCTACTTTCCTTTACAAATGGCAAAAAGGGATTTTTCCAAGATGACGGCAGAATTTCCACTAGCAGGTACATGTATCTGTAGAATGCTGTAAACAGGCTAGGTACTGTCCATTACGTTTGTTCATTGCCGCTGTAGCACGTGGGTATAAAGAAGGTTGGTTGAACATTCAAATGCAGTGTAAACAGATATTCAAATAGACAAGGTAGCAAATAGTGGTGTTGCGAAAATGCATAGAGCATACATGTACATTAGAGACTATAGTAGCACTGTTAATAGGTAAAAGCTGTCTGGATAAATCCTGATAAACCCTGTCAAATGTCTTGAAGCAGCAGGTGGGATAATGAAAGTAGGAAGTACATGTGAGGGCCAAATATATATATTTGCTGTTAGTCAGAATTAGTGAACTCCAGTCTAAGCTAGAAGTAAATAATTTACTTCAGGTGGCAAAATTGGCAGCTACCGGCACACTTTGACAGGGCTTAAAAAGACAT